AAATAGCAACAGAAAACTGCATCTCTGGCTAACTGGGCAATGTGTCTTTCAGAGATTGTCAGGTTTATTTCTCCACAAATGATACACGTAGTATTTGTGTGACTTCAGATATTATTTGTGTGTGTGTACTGCTAACATACAGCAGCATTGGATATGTTATGCTTTCTAACAGCAGTGGCACTTCTGGAGGAAAGAAGTGAACATTATAATTACTGGTTCTATTAAGGCTGACTGTTGCTATATTTTACTTTTTTTGCTTTTAAAATACTTCTGTTGGAAAATAGTAAAAAAGCCCTTATCCTTGAGATTTTTGAAAGCTGTTGCACTGAAATATGCCCACTACTGCATATGTCACTTGCATGGAAAGTACAGTCAGAAATACCTGGTGTTATTTGATCTCTTTTCCATGCTTAGGTATTAACTACGGGCTGGAGAAACCGCCGTGTAGCATCGACCTCAATGAACAGAGAATCCTCAAGATCACATGCAGTTTTCACTATCACAGTGGAATCCATGGAGAAAAACAATGAGCTGGTTAACATTCGGTCTTCCCTGCTCAACCTGGTAGACTTGGCAGGATCTGAGAGACAGAAGGACACCCACACAGAAGGGCTGAGGTTAAAGGTTAGTTCTGTAATATCTGTGGCATCTTTCTCCTTTCAGACGTGCTTCCCTCCCAGCCACTGAATCTTTTCACCTTTGTTCTCTTTTTCATTTTTAGGAAGCAGGTAACATAAATCGATCACTGAGCTGCCTGGGCCAAGTAATCACAGCACTTGTTGACGTGGGTAATGGAAAACAGAGACACGTTTGTTACCGGGATTCCAAGCTCACTTTTCTGCTACGGGTAATGCATATATCCTCTGGATATTATTTGCGACGTGGGACATAGGAAAAATATTCACTTGTTTTTTTTCTGGTCATAAGCTGAACTTAAGTATATTAAAGTTTTTTCAATATTGGGCAAGCAGAAGAAAGCTTGAAAAATATCTTTCTAACCTAAACAGACTTCTAGTGGATTTATTGCCTTTAACTGAAGACAAATTTATGTTCATAATCTATTGCACATTTGTAAGTTTTAAAGAAAAAGAACATGTTTTCATCCTGTGACTTGGGAAATACTGTGTGCCACAATGAAATATTTAGAGATGTGTTGAAACATTTGACAGGATTTCCAAAATTGGCCTACGTGCGCTAAGTGTTGATCTGGTGTTAAGAATTAGATACATTTACAGTTTCCTACCTGAGAGCTTATGGGCTCTTTTCCAGAAGAACAGAAAACAAAGACAGAAGCAGTCAAAGATTTGTTGGATGCCAGGGCTCACCAAAATTCTGTGAAAAGTAATGAATATCTGTAATATATTTTGGTGTTATATTACTTTTACAGAATACGGATTTGTGTTATGACACGGTATTGGGATTACAGCAGAATTTCTCAATCGTTCCATCCCGGTTCTATGTATATCTTAGATTCATGAAACTCTGAAGGATTACGTTCTTCCAATACAACCCAAAATACATAGAAACTGGAAGAGAATTGCAACTGTATGAGCTGTTACTCTAAGTGGTTATTTTTGTTTTGGTGTCTGTACTACAAAGAAGTCCAGAAACATGACCTTCCCTGCCAGCGAGAGAAAGAGGGAGAATGCTGTTGAGACTTGAGGATTATTCTGTAGTAGTAGACTTCTAGTCTTAGGTATTACTGCTGCCTTCTCCAGAGATTTGAGAGCTACTTGTTTAACAGCATAGAAATACCTGAAGACATGCATGTAAAAGGGAAAAGTTCCTTTAATATCCTTGGTCAAGAATCTGTTGGTTTGTGACTTTTGTTTGTTTGGCAACTGCCACCAGAGGATAGGTTGAAACAATCAACAGGCTAGGTGACATTCAAAGTAATGCAAAACTAATCTGCTAATTACAAAGAGTAAAGTGAAGTATTTACCTTATTCCCTGAATATTTTTTTCTTTGGTTTTTTTTTTTCTCTCCCTGCTGTTCAGGTGTGAAAAAATATCTCAAATTATTGTTAAGTAATATAGTCAGGGTTTTAAAAACCCAAATAAAGTCTTTATTTGCAGTCACATCCTTTATACTCACATTTGAAATAAAATTTGAGAAACTTAGCTAGCATGGATATTTGTTAAATGAAATTCCTTCTGCAGTTTGTTCAAAGTGATCTACACTAGCTCTTAGGTGATAGCTTCCTACTGCCACTATAAATGTGACTAACTTCCATGTTTTTAAATAGGATTCCCTTGGTGGTAATGCAAAAACGTGTATAATCGCAAATGTTCATCCAGGATCCAAGTGTTTTGGTGAAACACTGTCCACTCTTAACTTTGCTCAGCGAGCAAAGTTGATTAAAAACAAGGTAAGAGTTACTCCATGTCTTTATTGTAGCAAGTTATAATTTCTTGTCATTTAACCCACATACCTGCAAACCGGGAAAGCTTCATTGAAATATCTCTGCTTTCACTAGTTTAAAGTAATGTAGCTTATTTCAAAGCACTAAATTTGCTTTCCTGATTTTTTTTTTTTTCTTTTTTTTAATGGCAAATTTTTCTTGAAAAGGGCTTGGGTTTTTAGGTTCTGAATAGAGGCCAACAGCTGGGGACTAGGTAACGGCTAATAATAGTATGTATGCATTGCTTGTTCTCAGAGCACTTCATTAGAAAAGTAAAATAAGTACAATGTACCAAAAATTAAAATTGTCGCAAACATTTTTTGATTCAATGTTACTTGAGTTATCTAGAGTTATATATATGCTAGTACCCAAAATGTGCTTTCTCATGAGAGGGTTTTGAAAGTGTGTTGGCATCTAGCTGAAACTTTGTGTACTGCTTTGTGTACATTTCCAGGTAAAATTTTGCAGAAAATAGTAGATTTTTTTATCTGAAGTGCAACTTACTGGTTTCTCAGTAAATGGAACATTGCTTTTCCCGTGAGTTCTTCCTTTCCTAAGATGGCAAGAGTTCTTAGTAGTTTTGCTGCTTTGCATTCTTGGAGTTTTCTCTTATCCCATAAGATTTTTATTTGTACCTTTTCCTAATTTTCTCATATTTATGAAAGGCTGTGGTAAATGAAGACACACAAGGAAATGTGAGCCAGCTGCAAGCTGAGCTCAAGAAGTTGAAAGAGCAGCTTGCTCAGCTTACTTCAGTGCCATCTATGTGCAGTATTTCTGTTTCACAAGGTAAGAGTTGGAGGTGAGGGAGAGAACTTGCTACTTCTGTGGCCTTGAGGGTTGGAGGCCTTCAGTAAGTTTCTGAACACTAAATAATTTTTGTAGGAACTGACCTACAGAGGTTGCATTTGTCTTATGGATCCTATTGTCTGTATTTGTATCTAATACTGTGCAGAAATTGATAGCATGATTTTATTTTCTTCCTCTCATAAGGTTGGGTACTGGACTATGGGTTTATTATATAGTACCTAGATACTCTCTTAGTTCATAAGAACTATGCTGCCTAATCCTTTAAAACCCCAAAAGTTTACAGGTGATTTCTTGTACATTTAGGTCAGAGGGAAAGCACAAAGGTGTTAATAATGTTGCATTCTTTTTAAGCTCAGGAGTGGATTTGTTACCCTTCCTCTTCCTTTCAGGAAGAACCTAAGAAGGATGTTTATGCTCAATAAAAGATTTGATTTCAATGTAAGATGGAAATAGGAGTTTTTATCTCATTTTTTCCTTCCATCAGCTTTTCACTAGACCATTGTACCTACAATACAATTTACTTTGTCTTGTAAGCCTTGTCTTGTAACTCCTGCTGTTTTCTTGAGTCAACTCCTTCCTGACTTTGCCAAGAAATAGAAGATGCAGCAGTAGAAGTTACAACAGAAGTTAGCAAGCTTTATCTAATATAAAGCATCTGTGGTTGAGCTTCCCTGAGGAAAATGTTACTTCACTATTAGCATACACATTTAACCAGTAAAAACAAGTCAGTGATGATTTGGGACATTGAATCACTGTTCATAAATATTCAGATATTGACAGGGCTCCAGAATGTTTAGGCCCATGATAAGAGTTCTGAGGGAAAGCAAGTAATGATGCTTAAACACTAAGGAGGGGATTTGTGCAGAACCTAATATATCCAAGCTGTGTGTATTTTATACAGTTGAATTATGTTTATAGTATTTGATCACACAAATATAAAACCTACTTGCTAGCTGCTTTAGAAACATGATGACACTTTAAAATATATTGAATTACAATAGTGTAATTATTATGCACCTAGATACTATGGTGATTAGTATTCCATAAATAAGTAGTCTTGTCTGTGTAAAGACATTCAGAAAAGCTATTTTGAATTAATTTCTAAGTGGATTGTTAAACCCTTTTAATCCCTTGTGTGGACACTTTCCTTCCAGATTAAGCCACTAATTGTCCGCATAATTCATGCTTATTTTCCTGAATCTCCTTCTCATAAACCAGTTAGTCCACTTTTAACATGTGCAAACTGTACTAATAATGCTAATAATGGCTTAGTGTTATCAAATTAATTTCATAGGGATTTTGCATTTTATAGATATACTTGGCTGAACAGACTGATTCTTGTATTTTAATAAAAGTTCATTGCAAGGCCATTTAATGTTTGAACAACTTTGTTAATTATTTAGTTATGTATATTAACTCTGTTCTTTATCAGCACTTGCAGGTGACTAGGAATTACTGTCTAAAGAGTATGCTCTGGGTATGGCACATGATCTTTGTAAGAGAATTACACTGTATGAAGAATGTATTTAAATTTTCTTTACACAGTTGTCATGTTATATATGTACAAAAATCAGGTTAACTGGTATTTTAATAAATATGGAATTTGTTTCTCTGACTTACCCTACAGATACCCTGCAGAAAAACAACACAAATTACATGAACAACTTTCTAGAAGCGATGTTGTTCTGGAAGAAATCAGAAGGTGAAGTAAAGGTAAGAAAGCACTGATATTTCTAGCTGCATTCAGTGTACTCTCTGGTAAAAGACCAGTGAGCATATTGAAACTGACTCTCTTAATGATTTTCTTTGTTTTTGAGTAAAAATATGTTGTCCAAAGGTAACAAAGTTGGTAACAAGGGAACTTAGTCAAATGATAGTTATGATAAAATCTGTAGTGCTCAGGAGCACTGCAAGGGTGTTACGAGGTTATGTAGGGAGAAAACTATCAGGGCCAAAGCCTAAATTGAACTTAATCTGGCTACTACCATAAAATGTTCCCATAAAAGCATTAGCAATAAAAGAAGGGCTAAAGAGAATCTCCATCCTTTATTGGATGTGGGGGGAAACACAGTGACAAAAGCTGAGGTACTTAATGCTGCCTTTGCCTCAGTCTTTAATAGAACTAGAACAGTTGTCCTCTGGGTATCCAGCCCCCTGAGCTAGAAGATAGGGATGGGGGAGCAGAATGAAACCCCCATGGGAAATGGTCAGCATTCTGCTACACCACTTAGACACACACAAGTCTATGGGGCCAGGTGGGATCCACCCAAGGGTACTGAGGGAGCTACTGGAAGTGCTTACCAAGCCACTCTCTATTTATCATCAGTCCTGGCTAACTGTGGAGGTCACAGTTGCCTGGAGGTTAGCAAATGTGACACCCATCTACAGGAAGGGTCAAAAGGAGGATCCACGGAACTACAGGCCAGTCAGCCTGACTTCAGTGCCAGAGAAGGTTATGGAGCAGTGCCATCATGCAGCATATACAGGACAAGAGGATCAGACCTGGCCAGCATGGGTTTATGAAGTGCAGGTCATGTTTGACTAACCTGATCTCCCTTAACAAAATGACCAGCTTAGTGCATGTTGTCTACCTAGACTTTAAGAAAGCCACTGACAACATTTCCCACAGCATTTTCCTGGACAAACTGGCTGCTCATAGCTTGGACAGAGGCACTGTTTGCTGGGTAAAAATATTGACTGTGTAGCTGGTCCAGGAGAGTGGTGGTGAATGGAGTTAAATCCAGTTGGTGGTTGTTCACAACTGGTGTTCCCCAGGGCCAGTTCTTTCTAAGATTTTAATTGACAATCTGGACAGGGGGATTGAGTGCACCTTCAGTCAGTTTGCAGATGGCACCAAGTTGGGTGGGAGTGTTGATTTGCTTGAGGGCAGGAAGGCTTTCCAGAGGGGTCTGTACAGGCTGGATCAGTGGGCCAAGGCCAATTTGTATGAGGTTCCAAAAAGGTCAGGTGCCATATCATACTGTGCTTGGGTCACAACAACCCCATGCCGTACTACAGGTTTGGTACAGAGTGGCTGGAAAGCTGCCCAGTGCAAAAAGGATGTGAGGTGGTGGCTTACAGCAGCTGAACATGAGCCAGCAGTGTGCCCAGATGGCCAAGAAGGCAAATGGCATTTTGGCTTGTATCAGCAGCAGTGTGGCCAGGTTGGCCCCCTTTACTCAGCACTGGTGAGGCTGCACCTTGAATCCTGTGTTCAGTTTTGGGCTCCTCACTACAGGAAAGACACTGAGGTGTTGGAGTGTGTCAAGAAACTGGTGAAGGGTCTGGAGCAGAAGTCTGATGAGGAGGAGCTGAAGGAACTAGGATTGTTTAGCCTGAAGAAAAGGAGGCTCAGGGGAGACTAGAACTAGAGCAAATGGCCTCAAGTTGAACCAGGGGAGTTTTAGTTTGGATATTAGGAAGAAAATCCTCACTGAAAGGGTCACCAAGCACTGGAATAGACTGCCCAGGAACGTGGTAGAGTCGCCATCCCTGGAGGGATTTAAAGGACATAGAGATGTGGCACTTAGGGACATGGTTTAGTGGTGGTCTTGACTGTGCTGAGTTAATGGTGGTACTCGATTGTCATAAAAGTCTTTTCCAACCGAGATGATTCTATGATTCTATTTTGTCTTACAAAATCTGACAGGCCATTAGGATAGTTTTCACAGTATGTTAAGTTTTAGAGGGTGGGTTGTTTATTAGAATTTTCTATTAAAAAAATGGAACAGAACAGCAAACTTCTGTTTTACTTAATTTTGAGTGCGTTTTTGAGTGTTTGTATCAACTGTCTTTTGAAGCAAACCTCCGAGTCATCCTCATTTTATTGTGCTTCAGTTATGGTGCAGTTAAAATGGATTTTTTTTAGGGTTTTTTTAAAGAAAATTAACTGAAACAGGCACTCTAGGGGTGTGCATCAGATGTGCTTAACTGAATGCTTAGTCTACCGGGTCATATTGGAGTTTCTCAGTGCAATTTTTGCAATATGTTGTGTAATATGTGTTCTTGGTATGAGTTGTTGCTCTCTACAAATCTGCTGCAAATGATAGGCTGTATATTCACAAAATTACTGTTAACTGAGCTGTGCATGATTTGTCTGCCTGTGCATATGTATGTTATATGTGCACCTTAAAAATTCATCTAGTGTGACTGTCGTTTTTCCACTCATCTATATATGTACTTTCAAGAACTTATTGGAAAAAGTTGCTCAACTAGAAAATCTGTGTGCCAAAAAGGAAAATTTTATTCAGTCCAATAAAATGATAGTTAAATTCCGTGAAGACCATATTGTCCGCTTGGAGAGATTGCATAAAGAAGCTGGTGGATTTTTATTGCCAAAAGAGCAAGATGATCTCCTCAATGACTTGAGGGAAGAAGTGAAGATACTCAAAGAACAGGTAAGTCTTTGATTTTTCTTTTCTAGGACAGTTTTCTTTTGTGAGAATAGCTCATGTGATTGGAGTTCTGTGGTGGATGGATACAGTCTTCTTAGGAAAGACAGACAAAATAGAAGAGGTGGTGGGTTCCTTTTACAGAAGCATCTCAAATGCGTGGAGTTTCCCTATGGAAGGGACAATGGTGGGTTTAGAGCTTGTGGGTGTGCATATAGGGGGAGGCTAGTAAGGGTGATGTCATTGTGGGAGCTTGCCACAGGCCACCTGATCTGGGTTAGGTAGAGGACTAAATCTCCTTTGAGCAACTCAAGGGAGTCTTCAATCACAAATCCTCATTCTTTAAACTCTGTGCTAGCTGTTAAAAAGGAAATACAGCAGGGTGCAAGTAATGTAGCAGGTTTCTGAAGGATAACACGGATGCCAAATGGACCAATGAGGTGATGTGGTCCTGGAGCCATTTGAAGAAGGCAAATAGCAAAGTATATACCTAAGGCTTCAGGAGAAGAGACTTTGGGTTATTCAGGTGTCTAGTAGATGTGATATCATCTGAGGTAGTTTTGAAGAACAAAGAAGCTCAAGAGAGAAGGCAGATTCTTTAAAAACAATTTCCTCCAAGCATAACTAGGAGATAGGAGCGAATGTCTTGGAAGACTAGGATGAATCTGTAGCTCATAACTGAGCTTCAAAGTGAAGGTGGGGTGGAATGGGAGAAGGGCAAAAGTCAGGACAGTCATTGAAGGACAACAGAAACATTACTATGGCATGCAGGGGCAGTGTTAAGAAAACCAAAGCTCAAAGATGAAATTGAAAAGGTATGTCAATAGCAGCAAGAAAAACTTCTACTGCTTTATTATCAGTAAAAGAGTAAACACATATGATGTAAACCCAGGGCATCGTTTTGATAGCAGATTCCAAGACAGTATGGAAACTAGCAAAAATAAATTTGGGCCAGTTTTAACCACTGTAGGGAATACCTCTTTTCCTCTCCCATTACTTAAAGGTAGTAGAGCAACAGCTAGATAGGTATTACATTATCTGGATGCTAAAAAGTTTTGAATAAAATACTGTTTATCACAGGTGCAGCAACACCCACGTATTTTAAAGTATGCCATGGAGAACCATAATCTCAGAGAGGAGAACAAAAAGCTTCGTTCTTTACAGTCAGTTAAAAAGGCTCAAGAAATTGATGCTCAGACCATTGCAGAGCTAGAAAAAGCTTTTTGGGAAGCTTCAGCCATGGAGAAAAATACTGGAGGTAAAAATACGCTAAATGTTTCTTGACTAAATAAGTTTACTGTATTTCTGTTGTGTGCAGCATAACATTGAAAATGTCTGCCTTGATGCTTCTTCAAAGTGCTACCTGAAGACTGATAAAACAGGTTTTACTTCATTTTGTTCATGTTGGCCTTGAAACAGTAGACAATTTGGACTTGCATCTTGTGAACACCATCCATAATCTCACTTTGTGGCCTTTGGTTGTCATGAAGACTGCAGAAATACTAATTATTCTACCGATTTTCATGTGGACTGTTGCTAATACTTATTTTCATTGATCTCATTCACTGCTGTGCTGTACAAAAGCTCTCATTTTAGTAAAACTGAAGATATTTGAGTTACTCTGATTTCAGAGGGTGTATGTTTGTTGTTTAGGTCATCGTTTATATTCCACCGCCATGTCAGTGGAAGGCAACTCCTTGGCATCTCTTGAAAGGCTGAAAGCACATCTACTGCAGGCCCAAAGTGAACTGGCAAGCTCAAAGCAAGAATACGAAGAATTTAAAGAGCTAACCAAGTGAGTCAAAACAGTATAGAAATATCTGTAACTGAATGTCTCTAAGTAATTACTTACATTGATTTCTAGAAGTTAATCTCAGATCCTGGATATGGAGTCCAAGTTTGTTCTCTGTGTGTAAGAGAGGGCCAGGTTAGAAACAATGGTATGCACACAGGATATGTTCCTGTTGAGCTTGGTTACTTCCAGACTAGGGAAAAACCATGATTCAATCCAAAGGCATGTCTGCACTGTTGCAGATTTCTTTGTCTTTTCCAAAGCCTCTCTTTATACTCAGATGAAAAAAAATGCTTCACAACATGCAGCAGATGGACATATCCTGAAATTCTGATAGTCACCTGCTTAACGGCACAGGGAGAGTTTGGCTTAATTTCCACATTGAGCAAGTATTTTTCAGTAGCTGAAGTATTGCAGATGCCAGAAGTGATAGGAGCTAAGAGTTGGTGGGTTTAGGTGGGGCAGGGGGCAATATTTAGGGGGTTGTGTAACAGTAGTTTTTTAATATTAAGGTTCCAGGTTTGAGTCACCATAAATGTAGAATCCAAGCACCCCAGAAAATTTTGGCTAACCTGTTGCTTAATTTTTTGTCTACACTTCAGAGACTAAAAAGGCAACAATACCACTATCTTGAGACTTGTTATTGGAACAGAGGTTTAATTCAAATTAGGGCAAAGACATAGTGTCAGTAGTACCTTTATGTCCATTTGCTTTGGCATCTAAAGATGACATAAAGGTCTGCTTTGTCCTTGCTAGCATAGTAAAGAATTGACTGTTACTGTTCTCCTTGAGGGCAGCACAAGGTAATGCAAGAGGCCTGACAAATACCTTCAGTGTATGTATATTCATATGCAAGTGAATAATACATGACTTAACTTGATTAACCCCATTTCTGAAAAAATCAGGTCCTGTTACTGGAGATACAAGGGAAATAACTGCATTTCCAGCAAACATCATGCCAGCCTGGAAGGCAAAAGGGACACATTTTTGGGTTTATATTAATTTTTTAGCTCGTGCCTAACATTGCTGCATTTTATTGATTTCAGTGAATGTAGAGTGCAATTCTAAAAGCATCAGGCACAAAGTAGTTCCATTTTTGCCTCACTACTACTTTTTTTTTTTCAAAGTAGCTTTTAATGTCTCTTTTGCTTATTCAGGCAGTTGCACAAATCTATTTTTATTCTTAGATTTCTGTGTAGCAAATTCTATGAACTTTATAAATAATTATGTTGCAATTTACTGAGATTATCAAGTCAGCAATCCATCAATTGTCCTGTATCATTAACTACAGACATCTATTTATATCTTCATTACATTAATTACCTTCTTTTCCTGCCCATTAAAAATATTCCTATCCTATGTATTCCATGTTTTATGCATATCTTGCTTTCTTGATAGTATGTATATGCATTTTTGTTACCAGTTACTGACACTTTCTTAGTGATGTGCAGTCCAAAAAGTGTGCTTTCCAGCCTCTGGCATCACTGCATTTTAAACTTGTTTCCAGATTCACAGTAACTAGATGCTTAATTTTGCATGCAATTTAATTATACGCTGTGACTGAAAAAGTAGAGTAAAATAATAATTTCACAAAATCGGTGTATGCTAATTTTTCTGATGTCCAATAACAGTACTAAAGTTCTACCGTGTTCTGTAAATTTTGATGCAGATGCCAAAAACATGAGGGGAAGTGACAGCATTAACCTGCCAAAAGATGCAATAGTATGTTACTGTTTGTCTGTAGACTTTGACCCTACCATTATGTCAGTAATGTCAATTATCACAGTAACAGCATGTAGCTCTGCAAAATACCTAATGAAAATGATTCCTAAATTTCTGCTCAACTGTTGGGTTTCAGTTAAAGTACGTTTAGAGGGCAAAATAATCTTAACAGAGCAGCACTTCAAAAAAAAAAAAAAGTCTTTAAAGGATTTTCTTTAATCCTGGCAAGCTCCAGTTCAGACTTTTCATATAACTGGATAACATTTTTAAAGCTTAAAACCATATTGGTATGGGTGATATCACTTTCTCATAAAAGGAACTGCTGCACAGCTCTCAGCTTACTTCTTACCATGTAATGGATTTTTTTCTGACATGTTTAGTTATCCATCTGCTTGCTTCATTATGCAAGCACAAATAAGCTTCTTAGCTTTTTTAATTTTTATACTTTTTTTTTCTACTTTTTAATACAGCAGTGATGGCTTTCTTTCTAAAATAATGTATTTCAGTGTTTGGGCAAGAGGTCAGGTGCAGTTTGCTCATTGGCAATGCTGCAGTGTATTCTGGCTGATGGGAGGGAGGGCATACAGATGGAGTAGTTCTAACACTAGTAAAATACTTCCTAAACAGAAAGAGGCATATGGAACAGGAATCAGAGATTCAGTCCCTTCGGAAAGCAAATCATCATCTTGAAAACATTCTGGAGGCAACCAAAGCACACAGGCGCCGAGAAGTCTCTCAGTTACACAAGCTACATAGAGAAAGTCTGCAGGTATGAGAATAAGTTTACTTAAATCCGCACATACGTACTCCTGAGTGGTATGAGACTACAGACTGTCATTTGTATGATCCCTTAACCTAAAACACTACCTGAGTGACTGACTGCTACTATGATCAGATGACATCTGAAAAAGTGGTGGTCATTTGGAGCTAATGACTTAGAGCATTTGATGTCATTATTCTGCCTACAGAATTATGAGCTACAATGCCAGACAAAGACTTTATTTTAACTGTAAAATGGAATTAAGACTGCTTTGTAATCTTTATAACAGAACATAACCACCCCAACTAAGGCTTACCAGCTAAGGTCTCGTCTAGTGCCACGAATAAGCCCAGAAGTCTTAGATTTCCATTCTGAAGATTTTCAGCATTGTGAAGAGATGATGGATGACATTCGGAAAGAGCCAGTTTCCCAAGAGATGCGTGAACAAGCGTATGAAGCCATTGCTGAGGAGCTCAAAGAGGCACAGGTGAATCTTCTGAATAAAAACTGAAGTGTGTGTATAACTTTATAACAAAGTTGGTTTTGGCATGAAATGCTTCTCCCTTGCCAAATATATTTTAATTTGCATGGGAAACTGAAGTGCTTCATGAATACTTAACACTAAACAGTTCTCTAACTATACTTGAAAGAGGATTTACAATAAAAACACTGAAAGGGATTTGAGAGTTGAGTATCGTAAGCAGTTTAAGAGAGAGAGGGCATTTAAACTTTTACTCTTAACCTGATAACTTGTCTCTGAGGAATTCTCTTGTAAGTACCTGGTGACAGCTACATTTGAAACAACACCCAAGCTTAACATATAATACTGCAATATTTGAAGAAACCTGCTGAATTATGCTTGTCCACCCTTATACCTTAATTGTCTTGTATCTTCTAATGGACAGGGAACCTCTTTAGTCACACAGAAGAGATCTAAGAACTCTCTAGACGCTGGAACTAACTTCAGTGCATGTAAAACCCTGGCACAACAAACTAAAACCTCTTTGATTTATTTTTATAT